AAAAAATTTTGATGTAGCCTCTGTACCTTGCACTAAACAAGTGAAGCTTATGGCTCTATACGTATTCAAACAAACCACAGCCTTTAAAGTTATTTTTTCAAGCCGTTCACACTACTTAATTTTTTCCAACTTTAGCTGATATATGCGCTGACTTCAAAAACATAAGAAACCGAAGCATTAAAAAATGTTTCTGCAAACACCCACAACGGTAAAATTTATAAAAATTCCGCTTTTTAGAAAAAAAAATCTGCAAAAAAAAACAAACTTGTCCTCATCCAATCGGCACATTGAGCAATCCGAAACGAAGCCACCATGTTCGTTTTGCATCCCCGTATAAATCACTGTGCCAACTGGTACATCTACATTTCCGGAGCAAACATACTGCAAAAATTCTACCGCATCCGGGCCCTGAAAAAAGCATATAAAACAGATTCGGTATTAAACTGCCTAAATAGCTAAGCTATTCCATTTCTGTCGATAAAAAATTTTTAAAATGCACAACTTCAAAACTGGATTTTTCATATAAATTATATCCTAAACACTAAAAAAGCCAAAATTCGAAGACAGACGATTTAGCCATCAAATTTGCCTGCCGGCATTTTTAGCTGATTTCGAAGTTCAAAATTAACTTTCGGACGAACTGCTGTTAAGGTGATAGCAATTCTTAACCTCAGAAATGTGTCTAGATTTACCTCAATATTATATTTGGCAAAACTGGACAGATCAATTACAGCAACACTTTCACGACAGGCATCATATTCACGTGCAACCAGGTCGAACCATTCCGGTTTTCCGACCAACGAAAACTGCCCACTGTAGAAACTTTGCGATGTATCTGGAAAAAAAAATTATATCAAGCGATATCAAGCATCAAAGATCACTTCACACTTTCACTTATTTTCATATCTTTTCTTTGATCAGCTTTCATATCAAATAAATCATCACAATAAATACCAGTCCTCCTATGGCTGCTTTAGCTGAAGCTGATCAGTATACTTGTACTGGTTTTCTTACTTCTTTCCTTTGTTCGAAGAAAAAAGGCTATGTGCATATCACCCTACTGCATGTGTAGTTCCTCAGTCTAGGTACCAACGACTCTCAGATGCTCCTCTACGACGGTTACTCCATACAGAATCAAACGTCAGAAGCCAGTCAAAAGAGAGCTTTCGATGGCATCAAATCAAGGTGCAAAGATTTCTCAAGTCTAAATGGGAAGAAGCTTTGATGAAAGTCCCTCGGTTAAAATCGCAACGAAATTCGCACAAAAGGCTATGATTTTTAAAGACGATAACTGATATACAAACCTGCGGCAGGATCTTTCGAGAACCACAACGGCCTTTCATAGCCCATCACCTCACCAAAAACAGCCCCCGCTCTTTTCAGCTGATGATAAATTGGCGAAGCACGCAAATTTCGAGCTGTCTGATACTGATGATATTCATACGAGTTTGTGAATAATCTTCCTAAAATTTGAAGATTGCTTAGCACGGTTGAAGAGACATTAAAATTTTCAAAACTGGATTATTGAACACCAGCGTTAAACCCCTCCTCCCTCCCTGCCCCTCCCGCTCCCCCGTCTTTTATTTCCTGCGAAATGCAGAAGAAATCCGTGGTAATCCAAATACTAATTTCTGAAGGCCTAATATGTCAAAAGAAAACGAAAACTGCATATAAAGTATTTTTTTTAATGTAAAAAGTAATACCGAGGAAAAACTAATCACCTAAATAGGAATGTTTCGATCCGCAATTTTGCCAAAAAGAAGTTGTCGACAAAGATGCTAACAGCTGCAGCGTTCCAATACAGGGAATGCTAGAGGTAGTGGACTCCTCGGCATATGCTAATACTAATTTATCAATGCGAAAAGTTAAGAAATTGCAGAGTAAAGATTGGTCACTTGGTTTATTTTAGTTACCGATTGACCCTTCCAAATAAACCACATCGGTTCACTTAACTCGCCAGCTTTAATGAGGCGACGTGTACAGGGCTGGACTAAAATTGCCACGGAATTACAATAAATGCGGGCTATATTCATGTATAAGAAATTTGAAGACTCAAAAAAATTTGTACCAGCAACTTCAGGAACTCGTTCGATGAGATACTGCGCGCTTGAGTGCAAACTAATGAATCGCGTAACTTCCAGACGTGTAATATCGACCGGAAGGGTTTCATTACAAATTAGACCAGCTACAAGATTGCCACAACCACCTGCAAGTGCCAGACCTTGTCCACTGAAGCCTGTTGCAACGTAATATCCTTGAACCTGCAACAGATTCATTTCTCACCATTATAAGAGGACTGTCACGAAATCCAGCGAAAAATTAGCCAAGAAGCCACCACAAAGAAAAAGAGAAAAAAGGTGTATCTTGCATTGAAAGGCAGATACACAGCAGATGTGCTGCCAGGCTCAAAACTAGAGCAGAAGGGCCGATGGTGTGGTGGTAACACACTGCGTCCGGGCATGAACAGGAGTGGTTCGATTCCCTCTCGGTCCAGGACAATTTTTGAAAAAGGGCTCCATTCACGACAGGCACAAACATATAGCACTTTTACAAAAAACTGCATTAATCATTGAAAACAAGGTGAAAAATAAGGAAGAATTAAACTGCTACTAAGAGGAGCTATGGGAATCCCATTCCAGTGATTTTATTGGAACACTCTTACACAATACGTACAATTCCACCTTAGGTTTTCGATAATAAGCTGTATCTCCAACCTTGTGCGCCATTAAAGTAATCCAAGCGCACTGGGAAAATTATTAAAGTTTTCTTGCTTCATCAAAAGTCAGAACCTCTTCCCCTTTTCCTCAAATCTCTTTCCTTTAATCTGAAGATAATCGACAGTACAGCACGAATGAAAATACCTTTTGCCCAAGGCCTTAACCCACTGGCAAAGCTGTTGTTGGCTCTCGTTTATCAAGAATTCTGCACCTGCTGTTTTTTCTAACGGTGGATCCAAGGCAGGAACTCAAGCCCGACAAAAAATGCACCACTTAGTGGTACACCATGCAAGCACAACATATCATAAAATAATGAGCAACAAACCTGTTCCGTCTCACCAATTATAGGAAATTTATCAACTGTATAAGATTCGGCGCCACAGATCAATTCGCCGCATTCCAGTTCACCCAGTGCACTACATCTTTTTAACAAATGATCCAGGGCTGGATCTGAAAAATGTGCTAAAATAGCTCCTAATCCACTGAAAAAAAAAAAAAA